GTGTGTGTGTGTGTGTGTGTGTGTGTGTGTGTGTGTGTGTGTGTGTTTGACGTGCAAATTCGCATGACCTTACAAATGTTTTGCGCCTTTTTGTGAATATCTTCCTTTAAAGGTACAGTGAGCCCAATTCATTATTCTGAAGCAGGACAGGCTTCAGTGAGCAGCTCGGGCTTCATTATCCCATGCTGCCAGGGGAAGACACACATCACAGAACACACACATACACCAACACACACATATACTTAGCAAACCTCCTGCAGAGATATTTAACACAATAAGATAGCAGGAAGTTTTTCAGCTTTATGATGTCTCCTAAAATGAGTTATGAATATATTTGTTTATCTGCCACAAACACTGACACATTGTTAAATATASATACATAACATTAAAAGTTACTTTTCAGAAAAGCCATGATGAAAACAAGAATTTAGATTAGAATCATGATTTGTTAGCAGCTTTGGTGCGGAAAGATCACAACATTTGCCTCAGGAAAGAACTAGAATTCTAGAAGAGGTTCAAGGCGGCAGCATGTTAGAGCAGCTCTGCTCTATTCAGCCTGAGATGTTCTTTTTAAACATTTTAAATTCCTTTTTCCGGATGATTATTCCCTCTGCTATTAGATGCTGTGCTGCTGGAAGAATTTTTGCTAACACCTATTTTGCTTTTTGGACGTTTGTTATGATGCGGCAACGTGTTAGTTTGTTACAACCGGGAGCAGCTGGTTAACATCTTAAAAGCTCAAATAATACCTCAACTACTACGAATCCCAGACGAGTTAAAAATGAAGTGCTGGGGATGCAGAGCAAGAGCAAAGAGGAGAGAGAGAAGGAGGAAGTTCAAACCATCTCTTCCATCAATCATGATGGGCAATGTTAGATTGTTGGGGAACAAGTTAGACAAACTTGGCGTGTCGGGAGTGCAGTGTTGTGTGTTTCACTGAGACATGGCTGCAGGATTTTATCCCTGACTCCGGTGTCTCCCTGCCAGGCTTTGTGACCATAAGATGGACAACCCTGAGCATCCTCTTCATAAGACTTTCATACTACAACAGTCTTCTGTCAAGGCTTCTTCAGATCCGCTGTAAGACAGACCACTACAAGAGATTCTTCCTGCCCACAGCCATCCGTATCCATATTAACTCTTTAAATTAACCAGGACAAAATGAGTTACAACAGCATTTAATTTTCATTTGGGATAAATAAAGTATTGAATTGAATTTGAATTGAACTGGTGAAGGTGCCTGGCCCATTTTATGTTTAAACATTAGAATTAATTCTTTAGAAGGAGCTTGACCTGCCATACTCACCCTGTTTTCCTCCTCTCTGAGGTCAGGCATGGTGCTGATACACAGGCTAACAACTGTCACTGCGACCATGATGACGGACAAGCAGGCGAAGATCTTCCCTGGTAGGCCCGACTGGGGATTCTCCACCATATCTCTCAGCCAGTTCATCACTTTTTGGTACCGCGTTTCCTCCACCGGCACCCGCTGCATGGCGTTTCTCTGCCTGTGCTCCTCCTCCCGTCTCTCCTTCTCGTGCACCTCCTCGATGCGCGTGTACATCTTCCTCTTGCAGCACCGCTCCATGTATGCCATCTCCACCCCCCAGTAGTTCAGCTCATCGTGCAGAGACAGGATGCACATCTCGCGCAGGAGCCKAAGTTTCCCCGCTGCCAGGAAGTTGAGGATGACCCTGAAGGCGGACGGGGAGCGGTCGAAGAAGAACTCCTTCCTGGCCTCATCGTAGTCATCGCACACGCTGGCGATGTCCTCAAGTGACCGGCACCCACAGAGGCGGCCGAGCCGAGTGAGGGGGAACTGCTGCAGCGTGCTCCAGGGGAACGTGTAGCGGTTTCCCCCAACGTTTATTACTGCCAATAAGGCATGGTCGACTGACACCAGGTCCTCTGGCCGACGGATGAACTGGGCTCTCTGGTAATACACACCCTGGAATGTGGAAAACAAAGACAATAGCCGCTTCATTATTATCATTTTCATTTTATTTTAGATTAGCAGCACCCTCTTCAGATGTTATCATCCATTAAATGGAYGTTATTAGCTGTTATCAGTCCCATAGAATGGCTTCAGACTGTCCCGACTGTGCCGCCTAGTGGGTTCTCCGTTCCATAGAATGGCTTCAGACTGTCAGCTGGTTAGTATGAGGCATAAAGCCACTAAGGTTTTTTATGCAATCTGGTTAGTATGAGGCATAAAACCACTAAGGTTTTTTATGCAATCTGGTTAATATGAGGCATAAAACCACCAATGTTTTTTATGGAATCTGGTTAATATGAGGCATAAAGCCACTAAGGTTAATTTTAGAGAAAATGACATGGACTACGATAAAGTAGCTGTAGCAAATTGTTGCATTCCAACGTATATGACACTGGTAACCCACTAGGGGGAACTGTCAGGACAGTCTGGAGCCATTCTGTGGGACTGATAACTGCTAATAACGTCCATTTAATGGACTGATAACATCCGAACCGGCTGTTAGCAGCAGTAATCTCAAACGTACCTTGATCGTCTCGGTTTCTGGGATCTCAGTAAAGATTCGGTCAAGACTGCTGTCATCGCTGACCGACAGGTTGCTGAAGTCATGGTTGGCGTTGCTGATGATGGGCATGGCAGCATTTGGAAAGCACGCTGCTCCAGACTGGGCAGCTCAAAACAATTCAGTTTCGATGATCTTTTTTTCTCAGTGACAAACAAGCTTTGGCTTCCAAACCACAGAGTGCAGACCCAGAGCACCTGATGCCACAACTGAACTGGTTATATTGCAGTTAGTCCACAACAGATTCGGTTTGTGCATCGACACTCTGTAACTTGGTGAATTTGGTGTTCCTGTTCTGAAGCCAGAGTCTAACAAAGAAAAAAAAAAGTCAGAGCTAGGATTGATCTGTCGCTGATAGCTGCAGATGATGAGCTCAGTGAGTCAGGCAGCCAAATGTGTAGCACCGAGGTGTCCGGGGACTGAAAGGGATTCTCTGTGACGCCGAAACAGGATTAGGGAGGACCTAAACACGAGGCAGCATCACGCAGGCACTGAGTGAGAGAGAGAACAGGACAAAAATGTTAGCATGAACTCAGGTGAACCCTCCTGCTGCCCATGAATCAAAATGACCCAGAAATCTCAACGTTAACCCTGGTCGTTTTGGGCAGCGAGAGGATTAAATTGACTCAATAAAGAGCAAAAATGTTTAAAAACGAGGTAACAAGAACAGATGGCAGCTGTAGAGAACATCCAGGTTCCTCAGAGTGAATTATTAGTTGTAAATGGGCAGCAATCCTAACAACAGACTTTGATGCTCGGGCTCCAAAATGTTTCTGTCTTTTCTTTTTTTGGCACTAAAACTGTTAGAAAACTTTTCTTTGGCACAACAGTTGCACAGATTGATTCACTGCGTACAAAAAAAGTTTATTAAATAATTCATTTTAAACTTAGTCATTTCGCAGTATCACTTTGTTTTGGAATGGTACAAATTCCAGTTCAAATGTTTTTTATTCAATTTGTCTGTTGAGCCTCTTTTTTCTGTGCACATTTTAGACCTATTTTATGACATTATGTAATAAGATAAAGCAGATTTTCAACCCAATCACTGCAGAATTGTTTATGTGTCCCTGTGTATCTGCAGCTTTTTACACTCTGTGGCCAAATCAGCAACTCTGTACAATAACCCAGTTCACAACGTGGAAGAATGTGATGAGAAAAAGAGGTCAGCATTAACAACAAATTCATAGTTTATCGAATGCTTTGGAAATCTAGGCAAAAAAAATCCTTTACCGTCTCCTTTTTCTTCACCATTCTGACCAAAATTTTAGGACACAAAGTTCCCCGGCAAACAAAGCACCAATCGATGTTTTAAAACCTAAAAGTATTTATATGTCCATGGAGCACAAATCAATGTATGCAGTCTAGTCACAAATTTCTATAGGTCAGAGTTGCCTGTTAAACTGTTTAAACTAAATTAGAGGAGTTCTGAGAGTTTCTCACTCACACCAGTGTTGTTTACAAAAATCTGATTAAAAGTATTGACCTAATTCGGCCCAGTGCCTGTTCACACTATCGACAGATTTATTGAATGTATGAATGAAGAGAGCAGACAGTCTGAAACAATGGAAACAACCACACTAATTCAGATCCAGGAGGATAAGATTCTGAGCTGGAAAACCCAATAAATCACAGCCGTCATCACGCTGGTATTTCATTTCCACCGCAAAGGAAGAGAAGCTCTTGACAACGTCTTTATGAATCGATTCTTATTTCTTATAATAGTGTTTGTATTGAAATGGAGGTGTTTTTAGTTGTTGTTTTTTTGGTGTTATCAGATTTTACATCAGAAATAAATGACAGACGTCACTCAGGAAACGAAATATTAGACTATAGGAATATTTATGTTGCTTAATAGTGTACTCTTAAATTTTGTATTATTCCATTTTACGTACTTTGTTGGGTCTGAGATGTTTCAGGAAATGAATTCAGCTATTGCCATCAGATAGCAAAGAGAGTCAGCATGAATATTGTCAATCAAAATAACTTATTAGATTATGCATAATTTTGATTGCTGTGCATTCATAAAAACAAAAAAAACTTCACACACTGCAAGAACATGCAGACTTTGCACAAACGGAATGAGGCAAAATATGACTATTGTGCGATTAAAACTATATATATATATATATATATATAAGGGTGATTATTTTCAAAATAAGCCCTCAAATAAGTGTTGAATTAAGTGACATCCTTCATTTTTCATCATGAAGGTGCACCATGCTCACACAGAGGCTTTCTCAACAACTTACCAAAAACACACACTCTGCAAAGCTTCCCAAGGAAGAATTTCACGCCTTTATCATTATAAGACCTTTAATCAAACTCGGTTAAACAGGGCGTTTTTTATAAAAACATGGAGCTAAATCCCGTTTCTGTTCGCTGGAATTAATAGAATTAAGACAAAATGTGATTTGAAGGGCGTTTTTTAAACTAATCTTAAAATTTAACGTTCACATACTCTGCAGATTGTAATGAAATGAGTCACTAAATTAGAATCTGCTCTTTGAGACATGAAGGCGAAGTTACACAAACCTCCTCTGCAGACCTCAGCAGAACTTAAGAAGTGCGGCTTACCATCCTCCAGCCTCGCGCTCATCTCCAGCAGACCGAAAAAGCTCGGAGCAAACCCCCCCACTTCTGTCGCCTCGCAGTCCCACTCCGACCTCCTCAGCTCCACATCAGGGGGTCCGCGAGCAGCCGCTGCCCCCACATGCCACCAGGACAGAGGGACGTCTCCGGCATCATCCGAGGAGAAGGTGTGCAGGAAGGCGGTCCGAACGCGGGGGCGGAGGGGAGCCGGGGGGGAAGGTTCGGTGAGCTCAAAGTGTCCCGTTACAGCTCGGCTGGTGGTGCTGCAGGAGGAGGAGGAGGAGGAGGAGGAAGGGCAGGTGGGATGTGGAGTTGGGAGTTGTGCGTAACACAGGAGACTGGAAGAGGCTTGTCCAAGTTCAAGTTTGCGTAAAGGTGACGACATGCGCGGACCTGGAGGGGCGGATGTGCCTCTGCGATGGGTTTCTACAGAACCGCAGGCGGTGAGGGACTCCTGGAGTCCGCTCCTCAAAGATCCTGATAGAGTCCGTGGAAGTCAAGGACACCGAGGAGATGCTACATCCCACCTGCGCATAGGAGAGAGGCTCGCGCAACAGGGGGCGCGGTTTCTTCTCAAATTACCCCCCAGTAATAAATCAGGCAGGAAGCAATATTATATAACTTAATAATAAAACTGGATTTACAACACAGCCCCTCTCAGTACTAACAGATAATCTATATGGTGATGAAAAGTTCTAAGTTTTATTGCTCATTAATAAATGGAAATATGTGAAGTTCTGCATGCAGTTCATTTTAAATAGAGGACAAAGTAAAATAAAAAAAAATAAATGGTGAATCCAGGATGTTTACATACAAGAGGAGAATTAGAAGAAAGTTGTTACATAAAACACCACAGCCTCCTTTAATCCTCGTGGGCAGGGCCAGATGGCAGGGTGCAGAAATAAGAACAAGCAAACTGCTGAGAGACACAGACACAATGACTTTACCCGATGTATGAAGGACAGTTTTATGACACTAAAAYAGCTGGCCAAACCTCTGGCTGCACAGTAGGGGGAGTGGCATATATCTGGCCACTACAGRTCCATAACAGACATATGATGCTAAATCTTTCTTTTCACATTTAAATCCTTCACTTGGGGGTCTATATAAAGTAGAACTGCAAAGCTTTGGTCTGAATTCCTCCTTATTGTAACTCCATAAGCCCCGCCCCTTTTCTGAGGTGTGTCTCAGATCAACTCGTTTTAAGGCTGTTTCTTTAAATCCAAACGAGGCGCTTTACATCCCGCCTCCCCTTCCAGAGCGGTTCATGGAGGATGTTCATTGACTATTTTGTTTGCAAATTAATYAAAAGATGTAAACATCATAAAAAAAATTGAGAAAATTGAACGGCTTGAAAATAGCGACCCAAACAAATCTTTGCAGCACCGGGAGAGACTAAATTAAAATTTTCTGCACTCCCAGACTTCAAGTACACAATAAAATGCTTTTAACAGAAATAAATAATAATAAAAAAATAAATAAATATTGTGTGATTTTTCCCCTTTATTCATACATTCTATACTGCTCTGCAGGAGAGAGGTGGGGTTGCTGACAAGCAGTATTTTATTAAGCATTGTTTTATGAAATCTGTGTTATTGGGTTGTATACTCAAATCATCTAAATGCATCAATTTAAGTTTTAAAAATAAGCTTTTCCTGCCAAAATACTCCACTCCCCTGCTGGAACTGTTTGCTCCAGCTGTGCCACACCAAGAAAAAAAATAAATCTAGCTCCGCCCCTGTGACTGCACCACAAGGAAACAAACCTGAGTGTTCAAACCATTCAAGCTCAACGCATTTGAGCCAAACTTGACAAAGGTCGAAGCAAACTTGCAGAAGGTGAAGTTTCAGAGAGACACTTATCATCAGGATTGCAGATTTGTCAGCTTCGCTGGGCTCTCACTTTGTCCTTGAGTAGCAGCTCATTAGGCCGCATGTGCCTGAGGGAGCTACTAAAACGAGCAAACACTTTGTCCAGGCATTTATGGCTACTAACAGTGCGGACACATTAGTGGGAGTACAGATGGAGACTGGTGGAAGTGGGAATTGAGGGACTAGGTGGGGGGGGGGGTCTTTGTGTTGTGAGAAAAGACTTTTAATCCATCATTATTCATTAATCCACAGTGCAGGAGGGCTGGTTAGTGTGTATGACATGAGATTAACCACACCTGCTGGGCTGTCAGCTTCCAATCAGCTTTTTTCACCAAAGGGGAGGAGTTTGAATCAGTGATATTAGATACAGTAATTCAAAAAATGTGKTTTTTTTTGGCTGTAGTGTTAGCAAAATATATCATGAAATGCTAGGTTCCTTTTCAGTCATTTCACTCAGTKGTGGGGTTCGTAAGCTACGGCCTGCTATTAAACCCAGTATTCCCTCTTGGGACCTCACTGTGGTTCTTGAGGCTCTCTGCTACCCTCCATTTGAGCCYCYAKAGTCTGTAGAGTTGAAGTTTCTTTCATATAAAGTTGCTTTGCTTCTGGCTTTAGCTACAGCTAAACAGGTCAGGGACCTCCACACTCTGTCAGTGAACCCCTCCTGGATCCAGTTTTCTACTAATGACTCTAAAGTGGTTTTGCACCCTAACTCTGCGTATCTTCCTAAGGTGATACCTTCTAGTTACAGCTCTATGTCTATAGAGCTTTCCAGCTTTCACCCCCCCCAACCCTTTGGCATCTGAGGAGTAAAAGAGGCTGCATCTTCTGTGCCCCGTACATGCTCTACGCACTTACATCAGCCGCACACAGGATGTAGTCATGTGATCAGCTG